AGGCATCTCTGCGGCAGACTGAAACAATACCTGTAATAACAGCATCTGAAGCAATAGCATCGGGTCTGCTTGGAAGTGCATAGAAATGGACCTGACCGCCACCTGATCGACCTCCCCCTCTGGGGCGACCCCTAGCTGAATGGGCGGGTGATGGTGATGTAACTGGCACTGAAGTCGATGATTGATTCACCCGCACGCCTCAAACTGGAATCAACATAGCACATAACCGTGCAATCGACTAATTAATAGTGGACTCCCCCACTTGGCTCGAAGCCATAGACCAAAACATACACCGTAACTCATAACGCATATACTTTATTGCTGCCATAATACCAAAGTGAGATTAAACTCAATCTGTCATAAGCTCGTAAAACACAGACTATCTGGTACTTTATATCTTCTGCAAACCTCGCATTCACTCTCGTAGTAGTCAAGCCTACTCTCTTGAGCAACCCAAATTTAAATTGTAAAACATATATTTCCCTAGTAATAGAGATCTTCCAATAAATGACACAAAGGATTACGCAAACTTTAGAACAATCCGCATGAGATAACCCCACCTGCTTTGCCTCAAACTAACATTTCTGTATACCTTCCACTGTCATAAACATTACGCAGTCGCTTAAACTTCCTAAGTCTGAACTCAGACTACAACATGAAATTTACTCCACTACCAACTAGGAAACATGGAAAGATTCTTCACACACCCATAACTCGAGGCTATACCTCAAATCAAGATGGAAATCGAGCATCTAATAGTCCTTCTATCCTCCAGCAGACCCTTCTCGTCACTTTCAAATCACATGAATACATCTCGCAGTCACATCACACTCATCACATAACTATCCAGTCATCACCTCCCTTAATAGGGACACAACAGAACATATGGATCCAGAAACACGCGCTCACGAAATCAACAGCTTAGTGCTCAAGATATAGGCGAAAAATCTGGCCTTGAGTCCTCCAGACTGGCCTATTATCAACGTACAGAAACTCACAAGCCATCGATGCATATCCGATATCGAGCGCTCATACGCGTATACAAACACGTGGAAGGAATTCAAAGAGTTACATTCCAAACTGAATCAAGGACGCACGATAAGAATTTCAAGAAAATAAATTTTTTCCTAAAGGTTCTGCAGCCTCTCGAGGATAAATACAGATCTGTATCGATCCGCGACACTCTACTAAACCTGCTCATGACTCGTGAGACCTATGTAACCTAGGCTCTGATACCAACTTGTCACGACCCTAACCCGGACCTGGTCGTGATGGCACCTCTCATGAAGACAAGGTCAGCCCACACTTCCCATTTTCCAATTATTAACAGTTAAGCATTTAAGAAACGGTTTAAACATGATAAAGCAAATCCAAAATAACCATGATAGCATAAATACGCGGAAGAACACCCATACACAGCCCTAATCGGGGTGTCACTAGTCATGAGCATCTATAAGTCATAATACAAATCCGCTAAGTCAATAAACTAGTACAACTGTCTAAAAAGAGATAGAAGTGATAAAGGAATAGAGCTATGCGGCCGCGGACACCAACAGCTACCTCGTGAACTCCGAATGTCAGCCTAAAGCTGGAGGGATCAGCACTCGGGAGCGGAACCAGCTACGTCTAAATCTGCACACAGGGTGTAGGAGTAAAGTGAGTACTCCAACTCAGTGATCAACAAATGTAAATAACGACTGAAAGTAAGAAAACAAGTAAGGCACAAAGCATTCTATAATGAAGCAGTAAACCATTTAAAACCAGTAAATCAGTGAAAAATGGGTTAAATCCTTTAACTCAAATGTAGTTTCATGAAAAGCCTTTTTCAATTATTAAGCAGGTAATTGACAGTCAATTATGAAAAGTAAACACATAAAGGCTCGCCCCTCGGGCACAGTATCAACAAGTCCGCCCCTCGGGCACAGTATCAACAAGTCCGCCCCTCGGGCAACATCTCCGAACAGTACCAGCCCCTCGGGCAATCACATAGAACAATACCAGCCCATCGGGCTCAATCTCACANCACTAGGCCCAAATATGGCATTCAGCCCAAATAATAATGATAGCAAATAGTTTTTAATCAAATACGTGGTAAAATCATCAATCGAGACGGACCAAGTCACAATCCCCAATAGTGCACGACCTCACACTCGTCATCGAGCGTGTGCCTCATCTCAATATAGCACTACGATGTACAATCCGGGGTTTCAAACCCTCAGAATATCATTTACAATCATTACTCACCTCGAACCGGCTAAATCTCTAGCTCGCGACGCCTTTACCCCTCGAATCGGCCTCCACTCGCGTTGAATCTATCCAAAATCATAACCACAGTCAAAATATGCTAAGGGAACGAAGCCCAAGCGAAAATAATCAATATACGNATGCACAAATCCCGAAATTACCAAAACCCGACCCCCGGGCCCGCGTTTCAAAATTCAATAATGTTTACATCAATAGATTCCTTATCTCCCCACGAGTTCATACATATCAAAAGTTCTCAAATCCGACCTCAAATGGTCCTTCAATTCCTTAAGCAAAGGTCTAAGTTTCCAAGCCATAGTTTCCCCAATTTGCACCCTTAATTTCCATGATTTCTAGCTCTAATCCATGTAATAATAGCATAGGAACGAGTTTTTGGTCCAAATTCCTTACCTCAATGAAGTTCCCTTGAAATCCCTCTTTCAAATCCGCCAAAAGGCTCCAAAGCCGAAGTCAAAAATGATGAAATAGCTCAATTTCGCAAAATGAAATAACTTATATGCTCTGCCCAGAACTTTCCGCATCTGCGGTACTTCAACCGCATCTGTGGTACCGCATTTGCGGTTAAATCCTCCGCTTCTATGGGAATCACTAACCAGCCCAAAAATCTCATCTGTGATAAGTCTTCCGCATCTGCGACTCCGCTGATGCGGCCATCCTGACCGCTTCTGCGGTTCTTGACATTCTTCCAAAATCCACTTCTGCTGCCCCTTTCTCTCGCATATGCGTCACCGCACCTGCGGTCCCCAATCTGCAGGTGCAAAAATACCAGAAGCAGCAAATTCAGCAGCTGCAGCAATAATCCAACTTCTCTGTTAACCATCCGAAATCACCCCGAGGCCCCCGGGACCTCAACCAAAAGCACAAACATATCCTAATACCATATTCAAACTTGTTCCAATCATCAAAACACCTCAAACAACATGAAATCACCCAAAACACAGCGGATTCAAGTCAAACTTTCAAAAATCTTCCGACTTTCGCTTTTGATCAAAAACCCAACCAAACCACGTCTGAATGACTTGAAATTTTGCACACACATCCCAAATGACACCATGGAACTACTGCAACTCTCGAAATTCCATTCCGACCCCTATATCAAAATCTCGCCTACCAACCGGAAATTGCCAAAATATCAACTTCGCCAATTCAAGCCTAAATCTACTACGGACCTCCAAAATTCATTCTAATCGCACTCCTAAGCCACAAATAACCTCCCGAAGCTAACCGAACCATCAAAACTCACATCCGAGCCCTCTAACACATAAGTCAACATCCGGTTGACTTTTTAAACTTAAACTTTCTTAAAAGAGACTAAGTGTCTCAAACCTTACCAAAATCATTCCGGATTTGATCCGACCAACCTGATACCACAAAACACGGATAACAAGGCATAAAGAAACAGAAATGGGGGAAACGGAGCGGTAACTCATGAGACGACTGGCTGGGTCGTCACAAAAATGCCATGAAAAAGACTAAATTGCCAACTGATATTGTTCTACAAAATGGAGCCATTCTATCTGCAAATACTTTTAAGGCCAAATACATACGCAGCCCCTTAAAGTTGTCACAATTTTTCAGTTAGACACTCAAACTAAGGTTTGTTCCTATTGAATACTCAAAGAACATACAATATGTGCCAATTAAACACTTTGTGATTAAATAGTAAAAGGATCATAGTACGTGATATTCACACGCGATGACATGGACAAAGTAACAAATGAAAATCTGTCACATTCCCTTTCAGTCAAAACTAATTAGAAAATATTATTTAGCAAAAATAAAAAAGAAAAGTTAAAAAAAAACCTTATGGTCTTTTTTCCCAAACTCCCTCTCGTATCAGAAGCCACTGATGATCTCCCTCTCCCGCCCTTCAATATCTTCTTTCACCAAATCTTACTCCCCCCCTTCTTTTTCCATCACCCCCCCCCCCCGGTCATATGCTTCCCCACCAAACGACAACCTCATATTTCTAGGGAGGTTTTTCAAAAGTTGCAGACCATTAAAATAATTAAATGTACAAAAAATCTACTGGTAAATTTGTATTTTAGAATTGTTTGTTGGAGAAATCTTTGACATTAGGAATGTTTCAAAAAGTAAACTAATCATGAGATCTGTAGCTCTGTATTTCTATAAGTGACTTGGATTTTCCGAAAGAAAGCTTATCAAATTTACCGAAAATAATTTTAAATATTACAAATTGTGCAAAGAATTGGTACCAGTATTGGGGTATCTACATGGATAAGGAATTTAGACAGAAATTTGAAGCAAGAAATGTTATGATTCAAACAAGATGTGCATATCATACTAGTTGTTTTTTTATCTCTCAACAAAACTATCTCCAAAACTCATCATACTTTCAACTCATCTCTAAAATCTAAACACAGACACACATTGTCAAATCGCCAGAAGAAGGAGAAGAGGAGCAAAATCTCCCGTTTCAATATATTTTGCAATTCTGGAATCTCTCCAGAAGATTCTATTTACTCGGTCGAACTTCGGACCTAACTCGGCAATCGACTCCAGGTCATTCAATAAATCAAATTGTTCGTCTGTAAGGAGTACATTGCGCCGATTTAGAGGTGATGAGTGATTGCTCTTAGAAAGTGGAGGAGGCAATGGTGGAAATGGTGGTGGGAGAAGGAGCAGGAGAAGGAGAAGGAGAAGGAGAAGGAGGAGGAGGAGGAGGAGGAGGAGGAGAAGGAGAAGGAGAAGGAGAAGAAGGAGGAGGAGGAAATAGAAAAGACAAAAAAAAATTGTTTTTTGGGCTCTTCACGCGCCTACATTGGGTGAAGCTCACTCTATGTGCCAACTCAGCAAGAAGTGCCTAATTGGAACAAAGTTCATGTAATGTAGGTGCTCATTAGGAACACCCCTAAGTTCAGGTGTCTAAATGAAAAATCGTGTCAACTTTAAGTGTCTCCGTATGTATTCAGCCTACTTTTAAATATAAGTATCTAGTAAATTGTAAAGATCTCCATTTCAGCTTGAATAACTGATTATAAGCTATCGGAATGACAACTGTAGTTTAACAAAGCTGTGTGTTTTGCATAATCAGCATTTGGTTCAATGAAGCTTGATATGGATTATGTTACAAGGTAAACTGTGAAACTTTTAAAGAAAGTCGGGAGATTCATATAGCCCTAAAGACAAAAGGAGATCATTGGAGAATTTGCAAGATCATATATAACTAGAGATCAAGAAATGCCATGAAAAAATGCTTAATGGCCAAGATAGTTTGTTCTGTAGAATGGAGCCATTCTGTCTGAACTACTGTAAATACTTTAAATTTAAGTATCTTGTAATCTCAATTTCAGCTTCATCACATCGAAGAGGCAAAATTGTTCCCTTTTCCTTGGAATTTCTCTGGGTAAAAAACTGCAGCTCAGTAGGGAAATTTGTTGGTTTAAAGGTACTGAGTTTGTATTCTCTCTCGGTTCTGTTCCCACCACAGCTTTGCATGCACCTCCCCAAACTTCTCTCGGCTGTGTGAATGAAGAAAATATCATTTGCTCAACAAGCATGCCGAAATAATCAAACTAACAAGAGAATTGAGATTTTCACATACCTGAATCTAACACGGCGTAGCTCTCTAGTGCCATCAACTAGTTGTCTGATGGTTATATAGACCCCAGGCTCATCTTGTTCTACCCATTCTGACTCCAATTCACTAGCATTACTAACGGAAAGTGAAGCTTCATCTCTAGAGTCAGTGGTTGTCCTTGAAGCGTCCATATATGACATGTCACCCTTTGGGAAACCAGCTGCATAGGCAGTTGATCCTGTTGGTTTATGGAAATTGCTTGGAGTCCATTCCTTGTTTGTTGCAGGAGTCATCATAGGGCTCTCCATTGCAGATCCAAGCCTCGAATAATTGGAATCTCTCTGCAGAAAAACATATCAATATCTCTCTAATGAACAGGGTGACTAGCTAATGAATATTTAATGCAAACTGCGCAGCTAATACACATAGAAGCTGCCCCCAACCAGGAAATCTTGGCCCTACTATTCCATATAAGGATAAAAAACACCTTACACTGGAAATCAAATGGATACACTTCAGCGATAAAATTAGTGTATAGGTAAATTTAACAGTTCATCTATATAACTGAGTTATTTTTCATGGATGATAATAAAGAAAATGGACATCAGGGCTGTACGAAGACAAATCAATTGAAAGTGACTTACTCCATCCTCAGACCGTCCAGGCGTGTTAAGAGCTTGTTTATTGAATCTCTGAACATTATAGAGCTCCATAATTCGGTCATAATTCTCACCCCACCATCTTTGAGCTTGCCATTTGTTGAACATGTCCCGACTGAAAAAGACCAATGATATTAATGTCAGTAAAATCAACTGTTGTTTCAATAAGGATTTGAATAATACCTGTTCTTCCATTAAGGAAATGACTAAACAGACTACACTTGGACAATTCAACAGCTTATCGGGCCAGTTAGAAAGCTACACAACATGGATGCCTTCAATTCAATAGGTCATAAATTTAATAGCAAGTAAAATACTTATGTTTCTGATAAGTCGCAGTGAGAAAATATTTGAGGGCAACAGCACTAAACAAGTGAGATGGTTGAGCAGACAAAAGTGGAACAAAGAAAAGGAGAACTCAATAAGTCTTCATTTCATGAATGAAAAGGACTCAACATTAGTATAGGACAAGCATAATTAATATATAACCAACAACAGTTTAAAGAAGCTTTCATTACAAAAGAGGTTGTTTCTTAACTAAAATTAGGGATGACAATGGTGCGGGGCGGGTGCGGGGCGGTGCGGGTTTAGACATATGCGGGTGCTAGCGGGGCGGGTCAAAAAAAAATTCAAAATTCTTTGTGGGTGCGGTGCGGCTGCGGGTTTTAACTTTTTGCAAAATTATAATGTTTCAGCTATTGCTAATATTATTACAACCTAGAAATATTTATTTTTTTAGTTTTGAACTTGTGGTTCCTTTCACCTATGCATTGATTATTTTAGTCTCAAACTAATTTGGTTTTTGCGAGGAATATATTTCATATTCCACATTTATTTAGCTTACTGTAAATACATATTTTTCTGTTATTTGCATCTCTAGGAAGAAAATATTATATTATATATTTTTAGTGTTTTAAAGTCCCACTTTAATTATATAGTTACTTTATTTGAGTCAAGTAAATAATTAGTTGACTCAAATTTTATGTATGTGATCTCATTATCTTGTACGATACATGTGAATCACTAGAAATGACATACTGGTGTATCAAACTAAATTCCAATATTGATGCATGTAAAATCAAAAATAAGTACTCCCTCCGTTCCAATTTATACGAACCTGTTTGACTGGGCACGGAGTTTAAGAAAAAAATGAAGACTTTTGGAATTTGTGGTCCTAAACAAGTCCAAATGGGACCTAGAGTATTTGTGTGGTTATAAAAGCTTCTCATTAAGGGTAGAGTTGTAAATTTAAGCTAAATTGTTACCAAATTTAGAAAGGGTTCATTCTTTTTGGAACAGACCAAAAAGGAAATAAGTTCACATAAAAAAACTTTAAAACCGAACACTGTCAATACTTAAAAGTTAAAACTGACAACATTCAGTAGGATTTATAGTTATGGGCTTATGGCTATTCAAAATTGAACTTCTTTGGCTTGCAACTTGGATTCCAATGAGAACTTTTAGATTGGCAGTGCATATATGAATTTAATTGAAAATAAAATTAAATAAGATAAAAATATTACAAATTGAAAGAAATAATAAAGGGAAATTTTTGAAGAGCGGGGCGGTGCGAGTGGACGCGGGTGTTAATGCGGGGCAGATGGATGTGGGTGAACATGCTATGTGGGGCGGGGCGGATTAGAAATTTTGTGGGTTAAGGCAAAACCCGCCCCGCCCCGCCCGCCCCATTGCAATCTCTAACTAAAATTTTAAAGAAAAGAAGTTGGCACAATCAAAATTCCCATAAATTTAGTTTCTAGATAGAAATGAACGGAGATTTTTGATAGATACCTAAAGCGGATTCGTTTAAGATCATTTCCACCATTAGGGAGAGAAACAAACGTGATCTGAACACCAGGCTCGACCTGTGCTGTCCACTCTATTTGCTCATCATTTTCCACCACCACATCACCAGACTGAGAAATAGATTCAACACCACTAAATCCTCTAGCAAATCTTGGATCAGGTCTAGGAGTCCTTAGATTTCCAGCACTTGTAAAATCCCAAGCTGGAGTAGAACTAGAACTTGCTGGTTGATATGGATATGGAACTCCCTCTGATATTGTATCAAAATCAGGATACGGTCTATGCCCTTTCCTGTAGCTAGTTGGTATTGTTGACTTGCATTTATAAGCTCCTGAGACCTTTAAAGCAATATCCTTGATCTGTAAATGTTTAAGATCACAAGAATTTCAGGAAGATGGATTCTTGATTAGAAGATGAAATGCAGTATAAGTTAAACAGTAAATGTTGGTTTAAAATTACAATGACAAATTAAAATTCCAGTTGATTTTAAACTACAAGAAGTGTGGTTTCCATTTGAACAGTAACTGCTGCAAGATCAGCAAGCAAACCAATATGTGTCATATGTCTTGTAGTATGAACCAAAGAACAGTCAAAGCAGATTGTCTAAAAGCTAAATTATATGTACTATTTTATAGGTCCAAAAGCAAAAATTACTGTTTGAAAGTCACTTACTTTCACAAGTTAACTTTGCGGGGTACTACTGATCAATTCAACAGTTGAACTTGTGAAGTACTTATTAAGTAAGTTGACTACAGTGAATGGACAAGATATCAATGGTTGGTCATGTCAAAGATATAACTTAGACAAGTCTTTGCCAGACATGGGAATTGTCTTTTCTGAGAATCTGCACTAGTTTACATGTTACACTGTTCTTTTTTATTGGGTTTGCAAATTCTAAGTAACCCAAAATAAAATTCACTCCCACCTAAGCCGAAACTATGGTTACCTTGGAGATGTTCACACTGGTATAGCCTATGTTTAATATATATAAGAAACACATTCCATTGTTAAAGATATCCTAAGTTGTGTCATCTTAGGGATAGAGGCGCGAATTTAGAATCTAAAAAATCAGTAAGTTCAGAGATATATACATGTATATATATATATAATAAAAAAATTGTATACGTATACGTAGTTCGAACCTAAATTAATGTGCGCAGCTGAACTCACATGTTTGTGCTAAAGTTTCCTGTGTGTGCGCGTCTTTTCAAGATATGTGAAGAAGTTTAAATACTATTCTTATCAGATGGTTTTTGGTGGGGACATTTTGGCATACTCCCTCTTACATGTTATACATATTAAAGTTTCCTAAGCTTCTTACCCCCTTTAGTGGTCCAGTTGGTCAGCCAAACCAACTTATAATATTGTTAGTTTCAAAAACGTTGAGATGAAAATGAATGAGATTAGAAAAGTCTATTATAATTGGAAGATGATGAAAGAATGAACAGGACCACTAATGAAAGCAAACTAAAGCAGGAACATTATAGGACCAAGAATTTAGACACATGATCCAAGAAATAACGTGAACATGACCCAATCTACATGTTCACCTATACTCTCTTCATGCTATAAGCATAAAGGGGTGGGGTCAATAAATTAAAAGTCATATTATAGGTACCATAGTGCCCACAAATAAAAGACTTATTTAATCTTTGGAGTCACTGTGTTTTATAGGCACATTCTACGGTCCTCACTCACTCCTCTCCTACAACCCCCGCGTGTCTAAACAAAATGTTCATTTCATTGTTCTCTCCTAATCCAATGTCCAAATATACCCCAAATCCAGCTGGGAAATGTGGGCCCAAAAGGTTCAATTGTGGTTCCCACTAAAGAGATTATTTGCTAAAGCGACACTTCTCGTACTGAGTGTCGCTCAGCTTTGGGCAAAGAAGAGAAAAAAGAAAGTAAACAAAACCAGAAAAATACTACTCCTAGTATCCTTTCAATTTCCAAACGCTTTGACATTTTTTTGACATCATTTTATTTTTATTTAATTTCTGTAATTTTTTAGATTTTGTAGCCCCAAGAATGCTTGAGCTAGAATTTAGAAAAGCTTATGCTACATTAGGTCCAAAAATTTTACTAGGATAAGCAGTGTGTAACACTAGTTAAAACAAGTAATCAAAAGCTATAAGGCCCATTCAAGTGATATCGAGAGCCCGTGCAAAGGTTTTGGTCAAGCTATGCCGGTCCACCAAATAATGGAACTTAACTATATACCTCCTATCATATCTTTGAAATCACACACACTAATAATCCACTCTTCTACTCCGAAGCCGGGCGGAACTAGAGTATCGAGAGCGGGTTCGGCCGAATATAGTAACTTTGATTCAAATTTTGTATTTGTCTTTAAAATCTATGGAATATATATAAATTATTAATTTAGAACCTACTAACTTAAAAAAATTAGAATCTCGGACCCATAAAATTAAATTTCTAGCTCCGCCTCTGCTCCAAAGGACAGCCTTAATAAATAATCAAATATGATATTCGGGGTAGGGTCAAATTGGTACTTTTTCCTACATCTCCTCCTCCTGTAAAATCTTAAACTTTAATTTTTTAATGGAATTAAATTTTAATAAAGGTTTAAAAAGGATAGGTTTTTAAGAGAGGACCTGGGCCGTGAGGCTTTTGACGGAGTCTTTAGTATTGGGAGGAGGACGGGGTCCCTCTTCACCTCCGTCATCGTCTATCTTTTGCTTACACGTGATACACGTCAACATCTTCTCCTTCTGCTCTCTCTTTTCCCTTTTCTTTTCTTCTCTTTACAGTACCTACAATTTAAAACATTCAATTAATAAGCCAAAAAAAAAAAAAAA